CGCCGATCCCTGAGGGACGGGGAGGGTCACAGCGCGGTCCTGCCCTCCCCTCACCCCGCCAGGACCGTCAAAGCTCTTCCCTAAAACCCCAGGGAGCTGCGACCCCCCCTCACCTCTCCGTGGACTTGGAGCGGGACCGGGAGCGGGAGCGGCTCCGTCGCCGGTCCCGGGATCGGTGTCGCTTCCTGTCCTTGGCCGGGGAGCCCTTGCGGTCTCGGTCGCGCTCCCGGTCCCGGTCCCGTTCGCGGTCTGGGGAGCGGGAGCGTTTCCTTTCCTCCTTCACCGGGGACGCGTCCCGGTCCTTCTTGTCCGTCAGTTCTCCGGCCATCTGCGGGGAGGGGTCAGCGGGGGGGGGGGGACACCGGGGGGGAGAAGCCCCCAGAGGGATGGGGGGCACCCGGCGCTCCAGGCCCCGCCCGCGGTACCCGGTACCGGGGTTCAGCCCGGCGTGGCGGCAGCGGGGTCCTGCAGCCCCTGGGCGCCGCGGGGGTCCCTCGCGGTGGTGCCCGGCCCCCTCCCGGCCTTGCCCGGTCTCCCCTCACCGTGCCAGCCGCGGGCTCAGCGCCGCCGCTCCGCCACCGCCGCCGCCATGTCCGCCGGGGCCGCGGGGCACGCCGGGACGGCGCGGGGACTACAACTCCCGGCAGCCTGTGCGCGGGGGGGGCGAACCACAACTCCCGGTGGCCTCCGCGCTGTCAAAGCACCGCCGCCGCGCACCGCGATCCCTCCGCCGCCCCCGCCTTCGGGAACGAGTCCCCCGGGGTCAGCGTCCCCACGGCCCTGCAGCCCCCAGACTGCCCCGGGACCCCAGGGTGGGTGTACCCGCCTTCCCTGAATCCCACCCAAACCCTGGGGGGACCACCCTCAACAGTGTCAGTGTCACTGCGTACCCCAAAAACCCTACAGGTCCCCCCCTCCTCTCTGGTCGGTGTCCTTACATACCTCAAATCCCCAGAGATGGCCCCAGGACAGTAATCCCGCATCCCTGCGACCCCCAAACCCCACAAGGACCCCCAGACCAGCATCCCTGCAGGAGCCCCCCACTCCCACTGAACCCCCATTCCCAAGCTGGAACGCCCAGGCAGAGTCTGGCAGGGACCACTTTGGGGTACCCAAGGATCCCTCACTGCCCCACCTCAGTGTCCCCATCCCCAGTGATCCCCCAAAAACACCTCCCCAAGACCCAGCACCCCCCGAAAGAACTCCAGGCCACAGGCAGGGCTGCACGTAGGTGGGTCTTATATTTCTGATAATAAATAAGCTTTATAAGAACACTGACATGGAACAGAGACACCCCCCCACCCCAGACAGTCCATAAAATAGCCCCCCCATCGCCCCCCAACCCGCTGGGGTCCCCCCAGGGCCAAGCAGTGGATGAGGGGTGGGGGAAAGTGTAGGGGGGAAACAGGATGAGTCCATGGATGAGCCCCATGATGTGCCCCCCAAATCCCACAGGGATGTCCCAGGACTGTGTCCCCATGTGCCTGTGCACCCCAAAACCCACAGGGACCCCCCTGGGCCGGTGTCCCCAGGGTCCTGTGCACCCCAAACCCCACGGGGATCCCCCCAGGTTGGGGCCCAGGTGCTGAGCACCCCCCAGACCCCCCTCCCCACGGGGGCAGCCCCCCAGGCCGGGGGCTGGCAGGGCAATGGTGTGATGGGGGGGCAGCAGCACCTCCTCCTCGGGTGGGGGGTGGGTCCAGGGCCCCGTCCAGCCCCCCCCATCCCACCCTGGGGACTCGGGAGGGGGCTGGAAGTTGGGGAGGGTCATCCCTGTCCCCCCCTTCACATGACAGAGCAGCTTTTTGCCTTTTCCTTCTTGAAGGTGTTGGAGATGAGCTCGGAGCGGCTGGGCAGGTGCAGGAGTCTCTTGGAGAGGCTGCGGGGGGGGCTCTGGGGGGGCTGCTGGGGGGCTCTGCTGAGGCAGAGGCTGGACACGGTCCGGAAGATGCTGTGGACGCTCTTCTCCGAGGTGAAGGCCGAGCACTCCAGGTAGCCCTCGGCTCCCAACTGCCTGGCCATGGCACAGCCCTGCGGCCAGCCCCGTGTCAGACCACCTGCACCGCCCCAGCACCCCCCTCCCGGCCCCCCCGGGACCCCCCCAGACCTGCTCATAGGAGATGGGGGCCTGTTTCTGGTGCGAGAGCTCCAGGAGGGTGCTCAGGTCCGTCCTCAGGTCCGTCTTGCAGCCGATGAGCAGCACCCGCGTGTTGGGGCAATAATCCAGGATTTCCGTCTTCCACTGCGGGGTGGGAGCCGCTGTCAGGGACAGGGGACCCCAAAACCCTCTCCCTGCCCCCCCCCCACCAGGTCAGTGCACCCCAAACCCCAGAGGGACTTTCCAGGCCAGTGTCCCTGCACATCCCAAAGCCCTCGGGGAGCCCCTTGGGTCAATGTCCCCATATCCCTGAGTTCCCCAAGCCCCACAGGGACACCCTGGGTCAATGTCCCCACATCCCTGAGCCCCCCAGGGACCCTGTCCCACCTTCTTGGCGGCGCTGTCCAGGGTCTCGGGGCGGCTGATGTCGAAGCAGAGCAGGATGGCATCCGAGTCGCTGTAGCACAGGGGCCTCACGTTGTCATAGTAGGGGGAGCCTGGGGGGCATCATGGGGGGGGGGGGGTCACCTCTCAACCCCCCTGGAGGGACCCTCGATCCTACCCGGGGTGGGGGCTCAGAGCTCCAGAGACCCCCGCAAAAAAAAAGAAAACAGATCCCCAAGACACACATACCGCCCCTCTTCCTGCCTGGGGTGGGGGGCTCATCTCTAGAGCCCCCCCAAAGCACACACGGCCCCCCTCCTGCCTGGGGTGGGGGGCACAGCTCCAGAGCCCCCCCAGAGCGCCACCCCCGTCCCCGCAGCCCATCAAACGCATCGACGAGGCACCGGCAAATGGAGCCCGCGGTGTTTATGTAACAGCCCCCCCTGCCCGTTTTGGGGAGTCCCGCCAGCACCGAGGGGTGTCTGGGGATGGGGGGGGGCAGCCAGGAGGGGGGTGGTGGGGGTGCCACCCCCGCAGGGTCCCCAGGGACACGGAGCCACCGGCACCGCACCGGGAACTGCGGGGGACGCGGCGCGGGGGGCGCGGGGGGTGCCCGTGGGGTGCGGGGGGTGCCCCCGCTCCCCTTTGCCCCCCGAAAGGCCTCGGAGGGGGTTTCGCAGCCCAGACGCTCCGTGCACGGAATAGCAAAGAGGCTGCGCCAGCGCATCGCCATGGCAACCGGGGACCGGCGGGGACCCCCCCGCCGGGGGGGACACTGCAGCACCGGGCAGGGCTGCCCCGACACCCCCCCCGACCCCTCCCGGGCCCCCCAGCCATTCGGGGTACCCCGGGAGGGGCAGCACTGGAATCGCCCATAACCCCCCCCAGGCGCGGGGGACACCCTGAGCTCCCTCTGGGGGGCTCATCGGGGTTCGGGAACCCCCCCAGGGAAGGGGTTCAGCCCCGTGTGACCCCCTCCCGTCTGTGTCTGTGCCCCCACCGCGGGGTCGGTTCCCGGGGGCTCCCTGTGCCCCCCGGACTCAGGGATGTGACCGCAGACCTGAAGCCCCCCCAGGGGTCCCCACTGCGGCCACCAAGCCCGCCCTTGCTGGGACCCCAGAAAACCACAGGGACCGCACTGGGGCCACTAGGCCCCCCCTTCAGGGACTCCAAAACACCTCCGGGACCCCAAAAAGCATCCCGAGGACGCCACTGCGGCCACCAAATCCCCCCACTGCAGCGACCCCAAAACACTCCCGGGACCCCAATACACCCCGCTGTAAGGGCATCTCCACCGTAGCCCCGCCAAAACCCCAGTCCTACAATCCCCCGAGCCCCCAGACCACCAAATACCTCCATCACCCCCACCGGGGCCGGGGCTGCACCCCCGGTACCGGAGCCCCCCATGTAAGCACCGCGTGTCCCCCCCACCCGGTACCAGAGGTGTCCCAGAGGCTCAGCTCCACCCGCTGCTCCTCGCTGGCCAGACACGCCGTGTAGTTCTCAAACACGGTGGGCACGTACGTCTGCAACGGCACCGGCACCGTCAGCGCCCGCTCCGGTCCCGCCGCCCGGTGCGCGGTGCCGGTTGCCGGCGGCCGCCCCGGCTCACCTCGGGGTAGCAGTCCTTAGCCAGCACCTGCAGCATGGCCGTTTTGCCGCACTGCACGTCGCCCACCAGCACCAGCTTGCAGCGGGCCGGGGCGGCCGGTACCGGCCTCCGCTCCCGCATGGCGGCGGCACGGCGCGCGCGAACCTCCCCCGCCGCTGCCGCCCGCCCACCGCCCTGCGCGCCGCCGCCGCAAGCACATTATATACCCCCCCGCCGCCGGGCCCCGCCCACGGCGGCGCCCGCCCGCCAATCACCGCGGGGGCTCCCGGGGCTCCGGCCAATGGCGGAGAGGCGGCACCGGCGGCACCCGCTCCCGTCCGCCAGGGGGCAACGGCGCGCGCGGGGGCGGAAGTTGGAGCGCTGGTAGCGGAAGTGGCCGTTGCTTGGAGACCGGTGGGACGCGGGAGCGGGGCCGGTACCGGGCGGGGGGGGGGGGCGATCCTAAAAAAAGGGGGGAGATGGAGGGTCCTGGAGGGGCAGATGGGGTGGGAAGGGGGCGATAAGGGCTGAGGGGCTCTGGAGGGGGAGATGGAGGTGAGCAGAGGGAAACGGGGCTGAGGGAGGCCCTGGAGGAGCCACCACCGGGCCTCCTCTCCCCCGGGCGTCCCCCCACCCTTCTCACCGTGTCCCAGCTCCAGCCATGGCGGGGGCCCGTCCCGGCGCCCCCGGGGCGGCCGAGGCTGAGCTGCTGCTGCTGCAGAGCCAAGCGCTGGCCGAGGAGGAGGCTGCCAAGACCAGGAGGGAGCTGCTCAGCCGCTTCCTGCAGGTCCGGGACCCCACTGCAGCGAC